TCCCTATGCCCAAATCAATTCCTAGTAGATTAAAGATTTAATTTTTGAGATCTCATGTTTTATTCACTATCTTGAGTTTGGAGATCTCCTGAGCATAGCCACAAGGCAATTTAAAGGGGAAACACTGGTAAATTTGACTTTACAAATGCGAAGGGTCTGTGTGACAATATAGAACGAATGAAATGAAGTTTTAAAACAATACTGTCCTTCCTAAAAATGACACACTAGAGAAAAGTTGATAAAATATATAACAAGTAAGCATTAAAATCACAGTGATATAAAGAGCTTTTGTGGGGGTGGGGGCGGGGGAAGCTGTCCCAACCTGCAGGACATCAACCTGGGGCAAGAGAGTCAGGGATAGGGAATGGGGACAAGAGATGCAGAAAGAACGACCACAAGACAGGATTCTGATCAAGTGGCAAACTTTACTTTTCTCAGGCTAGCTTATATAGTCGGCAGAGCAGGATATGGGGAGGGGTAGAATGGGTTATGTGTGCACCAGGTGTTAGTGTAGGCAGGATATTAGGAAGCTACAAAGAGGATGTTTGGCAAGGTAAAGAGTTCATGAGTAAGAGGTCCAAGAAGGAGTTGCCTAGGTGACTGAGCCTGTGGGTGGAGGACTGGGTCAAGTTGTTTCTATTCTTGAGCTGAGGTTCTAAGAAGCTGTTATGTAGAGGTTAACTATGTGGCCTGCCAAGCATGGCCTAGGATCTCATGCCAAGCCCCGAGATTTGGCTCCCAACAGGAAGCATGTGGGGAGAGGGTAGTCCATGTGAGTGCATGTTTCCATGGGAGCCACAGGCATCAGGTTCTCCTAGATGTGGAGTTACCTGTGATTGTGAGCCACTAGATATGGGTGCCGGGAACTGAGCTCAGGGACTCCGCAAAAGCAGAGTGTGCCCCTAATCACTGGACCACCTCTCCAGCTCCATAAAGAGCTTGTTCAATCAATAAAGACAAGTATCTTATGGAGAAACAAGGCAATGGTTCCCAAAGACCAAACTACGAAGGGCCAGCCAGCATGCGAAACTGTCAAGAGATGCAATCAGAACATCAAAACATTACTTTCCACCAACCAGAGGCATCGAGATGAATGGTGTCTGTAAGGATTCAGGCATTACGCCGGCCTGCCCCTGACACCTGGCAGAATGCATTCAGGCGGTACCCTGGTCAGCCCAGGGTTCCATGACTGGTAGTCAGCGCGAAGGTGCAAAGGACCCCTTTAAAAGAAAGACCCCTGCCAACTTACGCTCCTTTCTTCCCCTCTCTCTTTCCTTCTGTTCTCCTGGGGCAGACATGACTTTTCCTATCTCCCGCTTCTCTTTTGCCCTCTCTCTGTCACTGTGTCTCTTTACTTCTTTTCTCTTTCCTTCCCTGCCTCTCCTTTCTAATAAAACTTCTCACTTATGCTCTGTCTGCCTGGCATGTTTGTCCCCTCGCCTCAGTCACCCTTGCCTGCCATGGAATCCACCAAAGTTCCCTCGCACTTTATCATAACAGGGCTGACTCCAGCTGCTGGAGCTTAGGCTTTCTACTGGTGAGAGCATAAACTGACTTCCCTGCGGAACTTCCTCAGCAATGCATAGTTCAATGTAAAATAGTTTTCATTCCAACAACCTTGCATCTATGAATTTAATCTAAGCAATAACTACATGCCTTTCTATAGACTTGTATAAGAAAAAAATCAGGAAACACTCTAGATATATATGCATGGTAGAATACTATCAAATAAATCACGGCATAGACTTGTAAGTCAGTCACGACTGACAATGTTCAGGAAATACTGATGAGTGAAAGCATACCACAAAACACACTCAGCCTGAATCTTTTTGGGGAACATGAGTGATGCTCTCAAAAGGTAGGGGTGTCAAGACTCATACCACCATGGCCACCACAAGTGAAGTGATCCATTCTCCCTGCACCCAGAGCATGCAATGCTCAATGCTTTAAAAAATGGATTTGCTGTGGGTTGGAAAGATGGCAGGGTTGAGAGCACTGATTGCTCTTGCAGAGGATCCAAGAGTACGTGGTGACTCATAATCATCCATAACTCTAGTTTCAGGGGATCTGATGCCCTCCTCTGTCATGCCCACAGTACACATACATGTATGCCAGCAAAATACTCATACACATAAAATAAATCTTTAAAAATGTATTTATTGTATCCTTCACTGCACAAAATTGAATCCCCCCCTCTCCTTCCCTTCAGAAGCCTGGCCTTAGACAATGACCATCATAGACTGCTATGACTGGCCAGTGGTTCATAAAAGAGAATGGGAAAATAGATCTTGAAAATCAGAATGAGAGTTTAGCAATCAAGAGAGTTCATTGAGCATTGCTTTTTACTTCCTCTCAAATAAATTTAAATATTAACTTTATTGCAAGCTGCCATGGAATTTCAAGATAACCAACCACCACTGCTCTGGGCTTATCTCAAGTGCTCTGCTACAATTCCAGGTCTTAGATAGAAAACACTATTCTGTTTTTCCTAATCTCCATTCATTTGATTGGCTGTTTTTGGCTCCTTCTAGAAGTGATGAGTAGTGGTACTTAACTGTCATAAGATAGACATAGAGACTCACGGCCAGGTAATATATAGACTAACCATAAGGTAAAAGAAAGTTGACAGGACATTATTTGGAAATCTGAAGACATGGCTTTCCCAAAACCAAAGAGACAGTCTACAAATTACCTCAGTGGTGAATTCAAGGGCTTAGCAAATGCCAAGGGAAAAACTAGACTTGCATTAAAAGATTCAAGTCACAAATCTGCCCGTGCCCATTTCTCCCTTTAAAATGGGGACCTGAAACCCCTGATCTTCCTACTACACAGAACCTCGTGAGGATGGAATGAAAGAGAAGCCTGTTGTACAGCTAAGGGTATACCCACAAACTATACACACATACACAGAAAAAAAATCCCAAAGCCAGTGTGTTTGTTCCATGACTGGGCAATACCTCAATTCTGATTCCCAGTCTGGAAGATAATTTAAAGCCAGGCAAAAGCTGTTCCCAAGGTTGATCATGTGAGAAAGAACCTTCTTCCACCCCACATTAGGATCTCGCTATATTTTAAAAATTACATTTATTTTGTGTGCATGTATGTATGCGTATATGTGTGGGCATGCACATGCCACAGAGCACATGTGGTGGGCGTTCAGCGTACAATTTACAAGAATCAGTTTTCTCCATCCCACTGCATAGGTCCCAAGGCTCCATGTCAGGTCGTCAGGCTGAGCCATCTCTCTGGCTCTGGATCTAGCTTTAGTTAGTGAACTCAGAAGTCAGCTCAATACTGTGGTCTACAGGTACCCCTTGTCCCTCTGCTAATTGGGAATCCAATTAGGGAGAGGGGAAAGTATTATGGTAAAATTTAGTGCTTTCTTCAAGCTTAAGGGAAAACTAAAAAGAACAGCAGGGAAATGAAGCGAGGTTTCCACAAACACCCACCACCTGCTCCTGTATGTGCATAGAGCGACTCCACACCGTAATTTGGAACAATCAGAGGAAATAACAAAGTCTGTGTGTTTGCTATTTTTGCAGCTGTAAATGAACTGTTTTTACATTTTTTCACTGTACTACAAGCTGATAATGTACTTAACATTTCATCAGTTTTTGAACCAGAGGCTTTTGTTTTTTATTAGACAGATGAGATTTCTTTCTTTCAGTGGTAATTATGCCAAGTCCCCACTTGGGCAACTATATCTTGGACAGTTATCCTAGAATGCAAAATTAAGGAGCTCTAGAAATATTGGTCCTATATAACTCAGAGAACAGAGGAACTAGCAAGGCCCAGAAGCTGGCATTGTATACACAAGTCTGGGTGTTACCTCCCTCTGCCTGACTTTTTCCAGTTGAGTAAACACTAGCACCCACCCCACCAGGTTGGAGCAGCTTTTTGGGCAGTCCAATGGTGTTTTAGTCTGTTTTCTGTTGTTCTAACAGGATAGCTGAGTATCAGTGAATTATAAAGAACAAAGAAGCTGTTAACTTGGGTTCCTGGGAGGTTCAGGAGCCTGGGAAGCCCACGGGCATGGCATGGGCATCTTCACAACTTCTGATGAGGTTCTCTTGATGTTTCAGAGCACAGTGGGATGCAGAAGGGAGGATGGACACACGAGTACCTCGTGCTCTTGTGGAAACTACGACAGTCCCAGAAGAAAGGGAAGAAAGGTACTAATACCTCTTGGCATTCAACTCAGCTCCCAAAGGTCCCACCCCAATCAAATTTCACTATCAATTTTGTGGAGACAAACCATGTATAAATCATAGCAGTGGGCCACTCAGCTATGACCTCCACCCACAAACACCCCACAAGCCAGCAGAGAACACACCAGTGATGGGCCTGGAAAGATTGTCTGTCTTCCTCAGGACCACAGTGGTGCACAGTTCCAGGGCCACATCCTGTGATCCACCCTGAGGTTGTACCATGTAACCACGCCCCTATTCCTTCCCCATGCTTTGATTCTGTAGGTCTAACAAGGGAGGGAGGGAGAAGGAAGAGAGAAGCCATAGCCTTGAGTTGAGGTGTTGTTAAAAGAAGCTGAAGAATACCAAGTGGGTTTTAAAAGTTAAACTGAATACACACTACCTGTATATTCACTGTATGGACAGTAGGCCAGCCCTGCCCATAGCTAATGTTTCATGGGCCATGACATGGTCTCAGCCATGGTTACTGAGGAATAGATAAAGTATGCCAATCACCATTATTCCCCCTCCCCCAAAACTCATGTAGATGCTGGCCATGAACTGGGTGGATGTTGCTTTAACCCACTGTTGCTACATTACCACCAAACCCAAATTTCTCAAGGGAGGCAGAGAACAATTTTACAGATGGTGAGTAAGAAAAAAGCAAAACCAAGGGAAGAACGGTCAAGATTACAGAATGTGTTTTACTGGAAAGCAGGCATTGCTTGCGATCTCCCATCAACAACTGAATTGTATCAAAGCGATGCTGCCTAACAGTCATGCAGGGAACCCGAGAGAGTGGCCAGGCTACTGTATTTTCTAGTTAGTTTATTGGTTCACTGACGGCAAGGGCTACTTCTAAAATGCTTGAAACATTTATTCATGCCTGTGTTCTTTATCTAATAGCCTCCTTCATAAAGCCAGATTCCAGCCCATCTGATTACCTACTGTGAAAGAATGGATCCTGAACTAATTAACAGATTACCTAAAGGAAGACCCAGAGGCACCACAGCCAGTGTCTACAGGAGCTGACTCTCGAGGATGTGGCCTGTGGTCAGTATTACACTGGGCATGAGTGTCAAGTTCACCGACACACTCTGACCCTGAAAACAGGAAGCACATAAACAGTTCCCAAGTTTCCTCCTTTTGGAAGATTCCACAGAGATGGTGCCATCTTGAATTCAGGAATGAGGCCATGCTGGGATGGAGAAAGTTCCAGGTCCACACAAGGGCTCTGGATGGGAGCCACACAGTCCAGGCACCTGAGAAGCTGTAGGATCAGCTGTTCGTCATCAAGGCAGTCTCCCCATGCGGCGCTCACCAGCCATCTAGATGTAGAGGAGCGAAAAAAAAGGCATAGACATTGCACACTTGTCTGTTTCTTCACTGTATCCCCCCATCCCTGTGTGCAGCTCCGACTCGTGTCCACAGAGTCCCAGCCGTGAAGCTGCCTAGGTCAGCCTGCCTGCTGGAGTGACCAGGGCCATCATCACTCTCCCTGCTTCCCCTGGTCAGGAGGGCATCCTGTCTTCTTCCTGAGTTAGTCACACTGGCTACCTGCCACCTGTGCCCTGACTCTCCTCATGCCCAGCTGTTCTGCATGACTCCCACCCCGGCCTCCCCTCCATTCCACTCATTTTTCAAAAGTGACAGTCTCACATACCACACTGCTGAGAAGGAGAGGAATGCAAGAATGGTCACAAAAGCCACGGAGCCCAGTCCAACACCCACCATCTGCTGCGGTGTGAGTGACGAATCTGTGGGAAGAAACCACACGATGAGCCCAGAGAACATCCCATCCCAGCCTTCCCAGGAGATCTACATCCAAACACGAGCATTCTGCCTTAACCCAGATCTGGGCTTCATTTAAGAAAGAATCCCAAGAATGCCCTACAGTGCCTTTGTGTCCCCAACAGGTCCTGCAGATGTCAGACCTCGGGAAACCACAATTTCAAAGTATTTCTAAAAAGCATGCATAAAACCAGATCATATTAAAGTTTACAAGGGAGAAAGAAAAAGAAGTAAAAAGCTTGTTGACACACCAAAGCTACGTGATACATGCTGTGTGCAGATCTTCTCTCAGGCCGGTTACACTTGATAGACGTTTATGAGGCAGAGCCTTTCACATGGAAGAAGTCACTCTGACATCATTTGAACTTGGGCTTCAAAAATGTTAGCACCAGCGCTCACATATAAGCACATTTTGTTGGACAGAGTTGCCGCCATTTCCCTGTATCATTAGCAGGGCAGTGCCGCTCTGCTCTGTTCAGCAGGCTTCTCTGAGGACTTTTAAAAGTCCATGTAAAAGCATTTGGAACACATGTTCTATTTGGGGAATGTCACATGACAACTCCAGGGAGATCCCTGATTGCAAACCGAAAAACACCCACATTTGTGGTACACATTTGGGTCAAGAGACTTAGAGTCCGTGACTTCAGCAAAGGCTCTGTTTTTATTGGAAAACAGCCGTCTCTGTGTGGGACGCACTGCTGTAAGCACCTCACACAGGTTAACTCAGTCTCCTGTGGTAGTTAATCCTAAATGTCAATTTGATTGGGCTGAGAGACACCTGCAGGGTTAAGAAACTACACTCCTGGGTATGTCTGTGAGACAGGAACTGAGCAGGAAGACCTACCCCGAATATGGACATCACCACCCAATAAGCTGAGGGCCTAGATGAACAGATGCAGAAGGGGGCTGACTGGCTTGGGCTTGCCTTTCCTCTCTTTGCTTCCTGGGTACCATGAGGTGAGCCACCTCCTCCAGTACATTTTGTGCTGCCTCATTTAAGCCAGAGCAATGGAGCTGGTTGACTATAGACAGACACCTCCAGAACTACAAGCCCAAATAAGCTTTTCACCTATGGAAGCTATTTGTTCAGTTACTGTGTTACCATGATAAAAACACCCATACATCTCCTAATGAATGCTTATACTGAAAATTTTATTCTCTCTTTACAGATGAGGGTCCAAGGCACAGAGGAAGTAAGCACAGCTCAGATGTCTATGATCAACTTAAGGGAAATTTGGTCCCAGTGGAAATTCTGTAGGATCCCTGGCACCTGCAAGCACAGCCATGGAACACACCACTTTTAATAGTAAAGCAAAACTCACTGTCCCAGGGTGTGTTGTCACAAGACTTTCTAGAAAAACATGGACTGGCCAGGTATATGGTCTACATTTATGACCCCAACACTTGGGAAGTTGAGGCAGGAGAATCATGAGTTTGAGGTCAAACTGGATTGCATAGTAAGACCTTATCTCAGAGTAACAACCAAAAAAAGAAAAAGAATCGTACCTTGTATATTCAGACCAAGAGAATCTCGACACTTTAAGACGCTAAATTATCAAATGGAAAGAGGAGCAATGGGGAAATTGAAAGTTATTTGTATCTTATATATGGGTAGACTTGATCATCAGACACAAAGACAGTAGAATGTTGGGAAGAATATGCTAGAACAAAGCCAACTCCATCAAGCCATTTCACAGTTGAACACTGGAATGATGATGTCCAAGTCTTTATCTCAACACCACCCCTCTCTACCAGTGGAACTTCAGCTCATCAACCACTGTGTGTTTATGTTTTCACTCTGAGGGATACTCTAAGCACATGGAAACTGTAACAACAGTACCCACCTTCCAGGGTTACTGTGAGAAATAATGATTTGCCACACAGCACCAGCCACCTAGCATTCAATCAACAAATGTCCGCTACTGTTAACTATTGTTACCATTATTCTATAACTGGGAAGGAGAAAAAAAGTGGCTAATTAGTATAAAGTGATTTTGATCACTAAAGCTTATTCTATATTACCAACAAAAAATTCAGTAAATACTTAAATTGAAATATAAAATAACTGAAAAATGTTGTTATTTATATACTATTAAAGTGGGTGAGAATTGTTTGATATATTTATTTTAAATATAATTATTTAAAATTATTTAATTTTAATTAAATAATATTTATCATTTAATTATTTAATAAATTATTTAACTATATTTAAATTGGGAGCCTTATAAACTTAACTACATTCAAAAGCATGTATTTTATATACACGAAACTGCCATTAGTAGGGCTAAAAAGCTCCATTTGCACTATTAGTGAAGTTTTAGGTTTGTAAGAGAAAATGCTGCCTTTAATCCCAGCACTTGAGAGGCAGAGGCAGGCAGAGCTATAAGTTCAAGGCCAGCCTGGTCTATAAATCGAGTTCCAGGACAGCCAGGACTACACAGAGAAATCCTGTCTCAAAACAAAACAAAAACAAACAAAGGTGTAAGTATGAGAAAGAGAGATGGGGGAGGGAGTGAGCATTCAGCATTGGAGATGGGGTGGGGGTGAGGGCTGGCACTTTCACTGAGTACGCCATGCAGCTAACCCTTCCTCCTCTCTAGTTCTCGTTATCAGTATTTTCACTATGTGCTTCCTGCACATTTTAATCTTTGATAAATAAAAACATGTACTGGAGTTCACGCTGTGTGGGTTCTGGATTTGCTATTTGTTCATCAGGAGTTACTAGTGAGGCGACGTCAGCTTTGCATCGTTATCCCGCCCATTTCTAGGCCCATATACAGCCTGCCCAAACCAATGTGTCCACAGGGGTGTTGTTAACTGTTAACAGAAGTCAAAACACACAGTTTTCCACCCTACTTCCTTGGCCAGGGAGTGAGTCTGTGGAAGAAGGAAAGGAGAGACACCTAAGTGATCTCATGCTCTGTGCTGACTCACTAGAATCACTGTCACTGTTGCTATCAGAGAGCCAAGCCATCACCTGAAGATCTGGCCTGCCCTTGACCTCAAGCTATCTTCAGGAACACTTTTGGTGGCGCCTCCTTTGTACAAAGTCCTTGTCCACTCCCCAGCCCTAGACTTCTCTTCCAGATCTCACAAAGGTCATCTGCACTTGGTTATCTGTCTTATTTGAAAATTGTGTGAAACTGCTCTGATGGGGTTCTTATAGGTAGAAAGACCTTACCCCCTCACAATCCAAAAGGACAGAGGCAGAGCAGGAGCTGAGGAACCCAGCTTCCCTGACCATCCACCTGCAGTGTCTGCCTCAGCAGTGGGTCCAGCTATTCCTCGCTATAGACATTATTATTGAAAAATGGTCTCTGGGCCTGGTGAGGTGGATGACGTGAGTGAGTAAGAGCCCAGCAGCTCACCGTCAGCTGTACCTCAGCTCCAGGGAACATGACACTCTCATCTCACCTCTGAGGGTACCACACTCAAACGGCACACACTCACAGACACAGATACATGCATAAATTTGATTTATTTGCATAGCATAATTTGGACTTGGGCTCCCAGCATGATTCAAGTTCTTGGTGACAGGTTTTTTCAGTTCACTCTGTATACAAACTCTCAGTCTAAGCACACTCAGGGGGTGTAGCCACATGGCTTCTTCCTCTGAGAATGCCTTACTAATAAAATTTACAAGTGGCCAATTTGAATTATAGTATTTTTATGGTCTTGCCATTCTCTGGCTCCCCTCCCTTCCACAGTCTCATGCTGTGGGACCTTTTATTTCCCTTCTGAATCATCTGTAGACTATTCTCTTGGAAACTCAGCTGAGTGAGTCATGTGCTGTGTTAGTCATTCTGAGAGAAAGTAAATAGCTTTGAACCGTAACCCTCTTCTCCACAGAGGCTCTCTGCTCAGCGAGTAAACAGTAAACGGCCTCTCTTTAATCCTTCACTGAGAGACCACAGGTGCTGAAGAGGAAGTTAGACCCTGGGACAACCTTGACGACTTCCTCTGGGTGTGGACATGTTGTTTTCAGAACTGTACACAGGTATATGGTCATTTCCTGAAAGCAACTGTTGCCATCAAATAGTACAAATAAATTGGCACCATGACTCAGGTTGGCTTGGGTCATACATGTGCAGAGAGCAGTTGGTGCTTCACTTTGAACATGGGAGAACAAGAGTGAGGATTCAGTGTTTGACCTATCTTTGTTATTCTCCAGTCTTCCTATTTGAGCTCCCTGCAGTGGGGGTGGGGGGGTTTAGAAAAGGGGAGCAAAGCGGGAAATAAATTCACAGGTAATTAATGTTTGATAAAGCAGCAACAATACTGCATTCGTCCAATGATTCGCTCACAGCTGTTCTGTGGTTCCGGGTTCAGATACACTCTGACAGGTTCTCAACTCAGCACCTTTACAGCGCTGGTCTCCGTGTGCTGAAAGCCCTGCCTTTCCTTCTGGAGGCTCTGGGGAAGAATCTGCTCTCAAGTTCATTCTCACTGTCAGCTAAATTCAGCCCCTTGAAGCTACAGAACTATCTATGGTCCTTGTTTTCTTATGATCTGTCAGCAAAGGCTCTTTTCTCCTCCCTTGCCATGTGGCTTTTCAACATTAGCAGGAAACTAACTCCTGGTGTCAAACCCGTCTCAGTCTTAGGCTTTTCCTAGTCCCTGACCTGTAGACCCAGGTTCAAGGGCTTGTGTGATAGGTTAGGACTATTGGAATACTCACTTTGCTGAAGACTCAACCTCAAAATGCCTCCCCATAGCATCACTTAGAATAGCCTTTGAATGAATCACCAGGGTCCATCAATGTGAGAGACTACCTTATAATTCTACTCACCACAACTCTGGGGGTGTTTTAGTGTGTGTGTGTGTGTGTGTGTGTGTGTGTGTGTGTGTGAGAGAGAGAGAGAGAGAGAGAGAGAGAGAGAGAAATCCCCAATATCCCTAGGGGATTTATTCCAGAAAATCCTCCCCTAAGATATCAGAATTTTTTAATATTAAAGCCTCCCATGAAGTGTGTTTGAACATAACCTGTCTACAGCTTATTTTGTACTTTTTATTTGTCTCTGGATTACTTAGAATGGTGAGAACAATGCAAATGCTATGCACATAGCATATTGTTTTAGGAATAATGAGAAGGGAAAAGGCCAGCCTATTTTCAGCACAGCTGCTGTTGTTTTCTGGAATATTTCATCTGCAGCTGATGGACTCCACAGATGCGGAGACAGCTGGCTGACTGTACACCTGCATACTCACCGTAAACTTGTATCTTGCTATTTTTCTCTGTTTATTTAATTTGACAAATATTAACTAAGTGCTTCATTCTTCATAAAAAAAAAACTGATGGCTGCCTACCTGCTGGGTTCAAGGCACTGTGACTATCTAATGTATGCCAGGCAATGATCCAGTTTTTGTTTGTTTGTTTGTTTGTTTCAATATTCTCTACAAGTGTTTGAAACCTCAAAGAAAAAGATAATTGCCAGCTGCTTTTCAGTGTGGGAGAACCGCTAAAGGAAAAGAGAGAGGAAGGTGTGGCCCTAAGGAGTTCTGAAGAGCTTCGGGAAGAGGGTTTGGTTTTCATCTTGAGCAGATGGACGGCAACAAGCAGCAAGTCACATATAGCTAACAGGGTATTAGGGTGGGAGTCATCAAGTCATTGTGTGAGCAAGGTCCTTATATAAAAAGACGGAGAATAGCTAGGACACCCATCTGAATGGAGCATGAATGGAGCAGAATGACAGAAGTAGTCATCAGAAAGTGTGTTGTTGTCAAACCAAGGCTGGAAGGCAATGGAAGAGCCTGGAGAAGCCACCAAAGGAAATACAAAAATGAGTAATATACTTCAGAAGTGAGTCAGGTGGCAGCAGGCAGGCTGGGAGAGAAAGGGGAAACCTGAACTCCTGTAACGGGAGATGCACAAGGAGGCTTTGCCATCTGTCTGTGCAACAGGGATGAAAGTGTGAGCTCTGCATGGACAGAAATGAAAGCGGGTGCAACATGCAGTCTGGAAGAGAACTGAGGAGTCACCAACGACATGGGTTTCATTCCTGTGCCTGGAGAATGCTCCCTGATTATAGCTTGCCATCATCTCAGTGACTCAAGAAATTGCAGACTCCCAGGACTTTGTGGCTGGACGGAATCTCAGCCCAGGCAGAGGCAACTGAGACTAGCCAAGTTAAACACCATTTCAAAGACACTGTCTGAGCAGGAGCTTGACTGGGGCAAGGAAGCCCAGGCCTCTGCATTGACATCGAATGCAGTCCCCTGACTATAAAGCTTTCTTAATGGTGGCACTGCAAAATATAAATACAAAACTCAGCACTGGGCAAAGGCCAGAATAGGGCCGAGGCTGTGCATCAAGGACCTGGAATGACTTGGGGACAGACCTGGATCACACTTCTCTCCAAATGGGAACTGTCCTAGTTAGAGTTTCTACTGCTGTGATGAAACACTGTGACCAAAAAGCAAGTTGGGGAGGAAAGGATTTATTTGACTTCCACTTCCACATTGTAGTCCATCATTGAAGAAAGCCAGGCCAGAAACTCAAACAGAGCAGGAACCTGGAGGCAGGAGCCATGGAGGAGGCTGCTTACTGGCTTGCTCCCCTCTTTGCCTGCTTTCTTATAGAACCCAGGACCACCAGCCCAGGGGTGGCTCTATCCACAATGGGCTGGGCCCTGCCTCATCAATCACTAATTATGGAAATGTTCTACAGGCTTGGCTACAGCCTGATCTTACTGTGACGTTTCTCAGTTGAGGCTCCCTCCTCTCCAGTGACTGCAGCTTGTGTCAAGTTGACATAAAATTAGCCAGCATAGGAGTCTTCACTTTTTATTTATTCATCATCATCATCATCATCATTATTTGGGTTTTTGAGACAAGGTCTCACTATATAGCCTTAACTGTCCTGGACTCACTATCTAGACCAGATTGGCTTCGAACTCAGAGATTCACCTGCCCCCCCCCCATCCTGAGTGCTGGGATTAAAGGTTCTCGTTACTGATTCTCAAGGGTGGAGAGGGAAGGACACTTGAAAAAGCCACTCAGATGTTCTCAAAATCCTTCCTAGTCACCACAAAAGAACCACAGCCTCCTCTCTGGCAGTTTCTCCTGCCTGGTTTGAATGTTTCCCAATCATATCAAATAGTTCTGGATAGGGTGGGTTCCAGAAGCTGTTGTGTGTGTCTTAAAGCCTGCACCTCTTAATTCACAACCCTTTTCCTCGTAAGAACGCTATCCTGTCCCTGGAGCTTCAGGGAGTGGACTGGTTGAGAGCTTTTTGGGTGTTGGAATGTGTGATTGTTTCCTGTACCCTGCGTTAAACCGCTTCAGAAAAGAGAGCCCAGCCACGCAGCACACGTCTCTGCTAAGATGGCAATCTACAACACAAGAAGGCTGCCAGATAACTCACCAGATCCAAAATCAACTTCTCTACCCCTGCTGCAGAAAGTTTGAGTAGAGAAAAAAAGATGGAAAGTAAGATGAAGGCAGAGGCAGACAGACAGAAGCTTCAGTCCCTCAGCCCCTCCTCCACTCATCCTACTAAGTTCCCTACTGACAGAGTAACAGAGGCCCATTGTAAAGTCCATCCCTAGCAATCCTGGAAGCAGCCTTGCTTCACTGCCTCACCACCACAGCCCATTATCTCTGTGGCTGTGCTCAGAAGTACGATGGGAGATGAGGAGTTAACGTGACTGTGTGGCCCTAGGACAGGGGGCAGCATTCCTTAGCGATTGCCAGGAAAAGATTCATACTCAAAGGTTATAAATTGAAAAAGATTTCTAGAACTAGCTACAAACTAATAGGATTCCTGGGAATCAACTCCACTGGCTAATTGCCAATGGTTTTAAAGAAATGTCCTGCCAGGGAAGCCTGACAAACAGGGATCTATGATTACTCAATGCCGGAGGCAGTTTCCCGCCCCCTTAGATAACTCTGTCCATGGAAAGGAGGTTTAAACGCTTAGCACCGATCAGCAAGAGCCAGCTCTGGAGCTACCGGAAGGAGGACTGGACTGCCGCATTTGGCAGACCTAAGCAGGAAGCCTGATTCATCATGTGTCCCATGCTGCTGCTAGGACAGCAGAGGCTTTACCTACCCAGTAGGTGGTCACTGTCAAGGGCACTGCTGTTTGCCATTTGATGTCATATAAAGTTTGAGAATAATTATGTTTTCCATGTATCGTGGTTGTACATCTGGATCTGATCAAGAAGAATGTACAGCCCCTGGATTCCTGGCCTTGGAGCTGGATGCAGCAAGCAGCGTTTGAACTATGTTCTTTTCCTACATTCCTTTTGGGTTTTTGTTTTATTTTTTCCCCCTATATGTAGGATAGTTCTATTTTGTTAGAAAATTATTTTTCTTAATATATTATAATTATGCATCATTTAATCGTGGAGACAATTCTGAGAAATGTGTCAACGGGTAAGAAGTCTTCACTGTGAAAATGTCACAGAATGTTCCTTAGCAAAATAATATGAATGGCTATGTCTCCAGCTGACATAAACTCTTTTTTTGGGCCCCTTTGGGCGGGGGTCTTGTTATGGATCCCAGGCTGACCTCAAACTCATCCTCCTCTACATTTGCCCCCTAAGTGCCAGGATACAGGCATAGAGGAGCCATGCCAAGGTTTAGAAGATGCAATCTTATGTGCCTTCCCCTATACTTGTGGTCCACCATTGACTGAATTGTCATTATTGGTATGTGACTGAGAATGTGTATGTGTGTATTCACGCCGTACAGCCAAATAGCAGGTCTCAGGCCTCTGTAGCTCTTATTCTGGTCTATAACCAAGCTTTCCAGGGCCCTTACACTCAATAGGAGTCTTTCCTCCTTCTCAGTGCCACTCTGGCGGGACAACTGCTCACAGTGCTCTGGCTCCAACAAGCCAAAACTACAAAACCCAACAAAGACTGATCCCTATCTCAAATCCACAGTGACTCAGCCAGAGGTCACTTACTGTAAAACTTTGTCCCCACTGAAGGTGCTCACCTGGAGTATCTTGGGGGCCCACCTCTCCTATCACATGGCTGCAGTAGAAAGACAGAGGCCAGCTGACACAGCAGAGACAAGATGCTGATAGCAAAGATGGTTGGTTCCCACTCGTGGCATTGGGTCCAAGTTGAGATGTCCTGAAGCTGGTGACACAGCTTTTTGTATAATTCAACAAGCTCCCACCTCTTTGGTTATGGCTTTGTGCTTAAATATGTCATACTCCATGGCAGGAGACTGTCTACAGTTTTCTGAAGATAGCTTAACTTGTATATCTGTTGTCACCTAGCACAATTTAAAACACGTCCTCAATATGAAATTGGTGCCACAGCTTGAACATGGAGAAGGACAGCATGCATAGAAAGAACACGGTTTTACCTTTTACCTCAGCCCAGACAGCGCAGGAATATCTTCTCACCTGGAAGGGAAACGGAAGCCCATCTAAGTAGGAGGCACAGGGCATCATCTTACACAATATAACACAGATGCTAAAGCCCTCCAAGTCTCAGCCTTTCCATAGCCTAATTTGAACTAGGAAATCTTTTTTAAGTTCCTTCTAGCTTTTATAAGTGTGTGCATTTACTTTATGTTGCTGAGTAATAAACCCATGGCTTCATACATGCTAGGCAAGTGCTTTACCACTGAGCTACAATCCCAGCTTCACCTCTTTCGCCTCAAGATTCAGCCATGTATCACCTGTGTTCAAGGGCTGTCATGGGGTAACAGGTATAGGAGTGGCTCTGGACATCACTTCTGCAGGTTTCCAAACTATCTCAGAAAGCTCACACCATGCATAGACAACAGAATGTCAGAAACATCATTATTCTGCTGCCAGATCAGAACAACTGGCATGGACTTCTTGAGGACTATGTTGAAAATTCTGAGACCACACCTAGGTTCAACAGGAAGTAGTGATGTGTGTTATAGACAAGCAATGAGAAGCTCTGGTATGTAATAAATAACATTTTGTCGATCTAAATGAGGCTTAGCAACTTCATTCACTCAAAATGTGTCCAAAACCCAGGAAGAAAGCAACAGGAAGAAGCAAGAAACCTACAAACTCACTGGAATGGAGCACCTTGTCTTGCGGCCATTGTTGTCACATACATACCTGTCCATCAGGACACCTGGGACTCTTGTATATGACTGAGGATTTGGTGCAGTCTCCCCTAGGGTAAGAAGTTATAGAACGACCTCTCTGTAGGGAGCCGTCCCTGCATTCTCCATTACAAGATGGCGCCTGCATCCGGCAGGCACTGAATGTAAACAAGATTATTGCGCAGGCGCTGGGTAATTTTCCATTCCTTGATCTCTGCCTATTCCGTGGCGTCATATGGCCCGATGAGCTGCAGCCAATCATGGGGTGACACGTCCGAGGCGGTTGCCAGCCTTTATTAGGGGACGGGATTCTTGGCTCGGGGTCTCTGCTCTGGTAAGCTTATGCTCTCCTCTCAAGACACATTAAAGCTTTACTGCAGAAGGATCCGAATGTCCTGTGTGGTTCTTGCTGGCGAGACGATCGCGAGGGACATCTGGTGCCGAAACCCGGGATCGAACCAGCTCTCCAACCTTATTATGTGACTCTCTTTCACATGACACACTAAGTATTCTCGTTTTTATATTCTTTTGTTTTGTTTGTTTGCTTGCTTGCTTGCTTGCTTGCTTTTAGAGAGAAGGTTTCTCTGTGTCAACAGCCCTAACTGTCCTAGAACTTGCTTTGTAGACCATGCAGCCTCAAACTCATAAAGATCTGCCTGCCTCTGCCTCCTAAGTGTTGGGATTAAAGGAGTGTGCCACCATGCCTGGCTGGTTTTTATGTTCTTAAAAAGGTTTTTAAAAATATTTTTAAGCTGAAATTCTGGGGAAAAGCTTGGAACAGTCACAGGCTTTAAATATAATTAAATTTTGTCTTGAGACTAAGTTTTGAAATTGGGAATGAAGGAATACACATGTCACAACAAGAAGACACAAAGGGCTCTTCCACTGTAAAGTGGTTACTAAGGAACTGAAAAACATTACAGCAGAGAAACTGACAGAGGCCAGGTGAAGCAGGGAAGGCATTGAAGTGATGTGCCTGGATCAGATGCACATTTTATAGGGCTTGTCCCAGCTGAAGCTAGAACAAGAGATGGGTAAAATAATAGACAAGAATCTGAACACGTGATGGGCAGAGAAAAGATGGCAAACTATGGACAATGCTGGCTTTAAAAAAAAATGAAAAGAATGATTTTATAATGGCATTAAGGTGACAGAACTGACCTTATTTGATGACAGAACACACAAGAAGGCGAGAAAGAGGCAGGGGATGAGAATTATTCTGAGTGTCCTCCCTTAGCTACAGGACACAATGGGGCATTGATTAGGACAAATATGTGGAAGAAAAAAGAAAATGGAGATATTGGAAGACTTAAACTTTCAAAATACACTGCTAGGACACTATAGTACTAGCATGAAGACAGACATACAAGTCAATGAAGCAGGCTATAGCATCCGGCAAAGAATCCTTGTACGTATGTCAGATGTTTTCGAAAGAAGCACTTACAACAGTTGTTTTGGTCAAATTAATGTAATCTAGAATCACCTAGAAAGAGCCTCAATGAGGAACCATCTGGGTCAGGCTGGTCTATAGGTGTGTCTGTACACACGTTTGAGTGATTGTTTTGATCATTTTAATCAACAGGGAAGACCCAGCCTACCATGGATGGCACCATTCCCTATATTTGGGTCCCAGACTACCTAGTAGTAAACAGAACATGCTGAGTAATATGCATACATGCGTACATGCATTCTCCCTCTGCTCTTGACTGACTAGCTACTTCAGGTTCCTGCCTTGACTTTCCTGAAATGATGTCCTGGAATTGCCAGCTGAATAAACTCCTTTTCCCTCAAAGTTGCTTTTTGTCAGGTTATTTTATCATCATAGCAACTGGGCCACAAACTAGAACAAATACCAAGAATTCAAGTAGTGTTCACATAAAAAAACAAAAACAAAAAAACTAACAACAACAACTCCCCCCCCCAAAAAAAAAAAACTAGGCTAGACTTTTGCCTAATGCCAAATGTAAAAATTAACTCAAAATGAATCAAATGCCCAAAAGTAAGACTTACATCTACAAAACTCCTAGAAGCCAACACAAATGAGAAGTTTCATGTCAAAGGCTTCTTGTGGCTCCAAGCCACAGGCAACAAAAGAAAAACAAACAAATTGGACTTCAACAAAATTTAAAATTTCTGTGCATCAAAGAACATTTATTAGCAAATAAAAACAGAGAATGGAATTGAAAATATTTTCAACTTCATCTCATAAGAGATTAATATCCAAATTATGAGAGAACTCTGAAAAAATAGCAAAAAAAAAAAATCAAATAACTCAATTTAAAAGTTAGTAAGGTCCGATGGGTGGCAGTGGCTCACGCCTTTAATCCCAGCACTCACGAGGCAGAGGCAGGTGGATCTCTGAGTCTGAGGTCAGCCTGGTCTACAAAGTGAGTTCTAGGACTACACAGAGAAATCCTATGTCAAAAAAAAAAAAAAAAAAAAAAAAAAAAAAAAAAAAAAGGAAAAGTACTTGAATAGACACTTATTCTAAAGAAGAGATAGCCACCAGGCACATGAAAAGATGCTGAGCATCCTTAATCTTTAAAGAAACGCAAAACAAGACCAGACAGGGGGACTACATCACACCCATCAGGGTGCCTGTTGTTACATTAACAATTTGAGGTAACAGCATCACAGGATTTAGCTTCCCAACTCTTAATCCCTATGTTATAGTCACAAAGTAGTCCTGGCCTCTCTGCTTCTCAGTCTTAAAAAGTAAGCCTTGGTTTTCTGTCAGCATGCCAGTGGCACATCAGACTTCTGTCCTGGGCAGAGTTTAATAGATGCCTGTTGTAAATAGGAAGAACCTACATACTTCTGCTTCAAACGTATCAGTCAAGACATGTTTTGCTAGTCTTTACATAATTTCCTTGTTTCCAACCCATGTGATTTTGCACCAAGTGTAGCATTCTCCTAGCTTGTCCAGCTCATTACATTTGCTAATTATTGAGAGAAACACAGCTGGTGGAGATGAGACTTGCTGAAGAGTGGGGTGGGGAGGATGCGGCCTATCAGAAATAACACAGTGCTGCCTTACTTTTGTGTCTGCCTTTCTCTCCTGCTTCCCTGGAAAATGAGGGAAGACAGCATCCTGGGAGGGCATAAAGGAAGCAGCAGATCTAATATTCCTTTCCAACTACGACTTCAGCCGTGCTATTGGATTCTGGTACTCATGAAGCCCTAGACACTCTCAAAGGAGTGTCCTGGGGCAGATGCAATAAGACTCCAGAAGTGTGGGTTGTCATCTTTGCAGGTCTCACCCACTCACGCTTTAGAAAGCCAGCACTCAAGAGGGAAGAGTCGTAAGTGCTGGTTATTCCATGTAGCATCTATTGCAAACACAGGGTGGGGAGGGCCATATTCAAACAATTTAAATACCATGTAAAAGAGAAACTATAGAGGTCACATCATCATCTTAAAAACTATACCTTATTCCATTCACTTGTGATCCGTAACAGAATGTAGTAATCATGTCCTGGTTTCAAAGGTGCATTGTAATATTCCCCATAGTACAGCCTGTCCCCGATGGGTATCGCCAACGTGTCATCTGGAACATCACTGGCCAGTATTTCTGCAGCCACATATCCGTCAGTCAAAGAGGTGTTGCCAAAAAATGAAGTCATGCCTTCAGAACCACAAGAAAATGTGCTTCCCAAGGACAGGGGAAGGACCAACACCTGATATGAACTAGAAGAGGGGAAAAAGCAGAGAAATCAGCAGGGGCTTCATTAAGACGGGATATTTGTTTCATCATCAGGTCCTTAGCCAGATGTGCATTTTATAAAGCTACTATGCACTCCTGTTTGGAGGACAGTGTGCTTGGGTTTACTGAACTAGTGCTATGCAATAAGCACTTTTGAGACACAAGAGTGGACAAGCAAAACTGCTGGCTCCACGGATTTAGTGTCTGGCAGTTCCAACAGTCACGGACATCCAAATTTACCTACAGCCAGATAAGAAGAAAACTCCCAGCTTCCCCCTCTGGGAGAAACTGGTGCTTGCATCACCGCCTTGTGTCCGTCATATGCAGTGCTTCACGTGGACGAGAGAAGCAGTAGGAAGGGCTCAGAAGTCATGTGAAGGCCAAGCACCTACAACTGTGAATGTGCTAAGTCTGAGAAACGGCTCCAGACAGTCATGTGGGGACTTAAAACAGAACTCATGTGATTTACATTCCCTGCAGTTCAGAGGCTCACACCAAAGTTCACGCCAAACCAATGAGCGGCCAGGAGTGAAAAGTCACCATGAGTTCATCAAGGCTGACAGGATCCTGGGAAAGGGAAAAGACACATGGATCTGGTGAAAATGTCCCCTAAATGAGGGCACAGAAACACACTAACCATCAGGTGTCCTTTCGTCGTGTTTTTTAGTAATATTTATCCACCGAAGAGAAAACCCAGCCGGTGGGAAGAAGATTGAGACCACTGATGAGATCGTGCCTCCTTTCCACTCCTGCCTGCTCGGCCTTCATTTCCCACCTCCAACGTCATAAATGCATGAGTATCTATCTACCTCTGCCAAACTTGACAATGGGGGTTTTCAGGACTACCTCCTGCATCTGCGGGCCCTTTCACATTTCTTTAGCTATGATCAACTCCCCATAATTGCTGGTTGAGTTGAATTTTCAATAAAGGAAAAAAAATGCCTGGATCAGCATCAAATATGATTAGGGTGATTTCCAAAACTCATTAGGCCACATAATTCTATTTCACCACGGATTCTGTGCTTCCTGCTCTACATTCCTAATGCCCCATTTCCTGCTCCCGAAAAGAACAGGAATCATTAGGTTCAGGAGGGGAGCCCTCCCCACAGTAGCTGTTGTATTTGGAAAGTCTCCAACCACCTGCTATGTACCCAACCAACTGTTACAAGTCCCCCGGACCCCGATTTCCACAGAGTCTGGCTCACATTCAGAAAAGAACTCTGAACAAAGGAGATTAAGTAAAACCTGCAGTAACAATAAACATTGACTAAGTTTCCACCGCCCATGGGGAACACTTGTGACAGCTCTTCAGGGGACTTGAAGGTATGGTGACCATGGGCAAGCATCTCCCATGCTGTGGAGATGCACACTCTCAATCTGTCTCATCCTGCTAGGTAAGTGATTGTGGTGAAGTTCAAGGTTCCCCTGCAGCAGTTGATTCTGTACATTGCCCATTACAGGGCAGGAAGCAGCCTCCTATGTAGCTGGATAATTATAGAAATAAGTTCCCAGGTCCCAAACCTGCAGGATCAAAGTCTCCGGGACTCGGGTTGAGAATGTTTGCTGCTGATGAAGCATGCCAGCTGATTCCTGTTAGCTAGTAAAGATAAGAGACATTAGCCTCAAGTGAGCCCAGGAACAGGTCTGACCATCTGCCTAAGCTCTGCATGTTCCATGCCAGGATTCACACAAAAGACTCAGAGCAGACTCTGGCCTGGCAAAGCTGCTACCTGCAGCTCTAGCCAGGCAGCCAGGCAGCCAGGCTGGGGAAATGGCATGCACACCTTCTGGTAAAGAGCCCTGGTGACACTAAAGAAGCAGTTGCAGTGGTTTGGAACCTGACCAGTTTGCAAGGGCTTCTCGCCACTGCCCTCCCTGGATGACTCACAGGTCTCTACTTCCTGTTTTGAAGGCACTGACTGATACACTGCCACAAGGGTAGGCTGTCATTTGGCTTTTCTTTTTGTCTTATGCAATTATTTGGCTTAAGTAGCACATCTGCCTGGCAAATTCGTTCAGATGATGATACCATGACTTCTGTTCCCCTTGCAACAACAGAATTACAATACTTTCCAGTAACTTACGAGGAATCGAGAAACAGAGCTGTTTGGGCAATGTCTGTCCTTGAAAAGACTTGAACTTAACCCAGTCTGAAAGCAGGGCAGCCCTATCTCCAAACGTGCCTTTCCATACTTCTAGAATATCTTATACTTATTTTTACATTGATTGCACCGAAAGGGCCACTACACTGAAAGCTCAGGAATGATAAAAGGCCCTGTAGGTCAGGCCATGCACACCGGAACTCCTTGACCTGGTACTGCTGCTATCATCTGTAGGCCAATCTTAACCTTCTTCTCTGAGAAGGGAGGTAAGTCAACTTCCTGGATCCTTCTATGACCTTTGTAAATAAAATGCAAAACTGAACAAACCATGATCCTCCAACAGAGGTAAATTAATTCCATCCTAATGCCATCTGGAATTCCAGTAAGTCACTAACTACACAGTGTCTTGCCTGTAACTCAATATGTGAACAGATAAAAAGAATTCTCCAAATGACCTTTTCAGAAACCACTACACATACCCTAAGATCAGAAAAGAGGACATCCTGTCTCTGGGAAATGAATCAATCCTTGTGTCCCACCACCGTTAAAGTGAGAAGTGAATGCAAGGGCCACTGCCCGATGCTGTCAACTGAGGTCTGTGACCACGGGAACACTTAATTTCTTGAGATATGCTGCCCAAATGCTTGTCTCTGGTCCCTCATAAGTCTCATTCTTGATTCAGAAGGATGCTAGTGGGATGAAAAGCCCAGCATGCTCAAGGAAACAGAGTAAGAGGCCCTGTTGTAGCTACCCAAGTTCAGCCATCCACAGAGAAGTCTTCTCACATAGTGGGACCACTGGTCAATTACGGAGAGAAGACAGGTACTCACCTGATAGGTCCATTTATCTCCTTGGCTTTCCTCAGCCTGAAGTGTGGTAGAGGCCCTCCTCGCACAGTGAAAAATTCTACTTCTGGAAGTAGGGGCTCTGAAAACATTAAGAAGGAAAAAAGGCAGGGGACAGAAGGTCAGATCAAGTAAAAACACAAAGAAAGTGGTCCTCTGGGATGCCATGAAAGTTTTTAACCCAGAAAGTAAAATATGCATACACAAAAAGACAAATAATATATGAGTCCAATTTTGTGAAACATCTAGATTAGTCAAATTCATAGAGCGAGTGGCCAAGAACTGAAGGGTGTGACAAGGACTGAACTTACTGCTAATGCACAGAGGTTTTGTGTGGAGTGATAAAAAGTTTGGAAAAGGTAGTGGTAGTGCCACATGGTAAATATATACCCTAAAGCTAATAAAGTATATATTTAAAATAGCTAATAGTATTACATTTTATCATATATATTAAAAAGAAGTGATGAGCATTCCAACACCCACAGGGGATGGGTCCTGGGGTTTTGATGTTTGCTGGACAAATTCTTATTTGGTAGGAGCTTTGGTTTAGAGATGTTTTAAAGCATCTCCCCAAACTTCAGACATTGGAAGCTTTGTTCCCAGAGTGATGGTGTTGGTGTAAGAGATGGTGAATCTTTTAGATGCAGAGTTGGTAGAAGGCCTAATTGGTCACTGAGGGTGATGCTCCTGGGAGTGACTGGTGCTGGCTTCAGGGAGCGAGTTAGTTCCCAAGAAAGCAAGTTGTCATAAAAGAAACGAGACAGGACCCTCCCTGCATGTGCTCACTGCTAAGGCAGGTGGACACTTCCCTACACAACCCATTGTGAAGTCATCTCCCATGCAGCCCTCACCTGGGGCCAAACCCATGGAGCAGCCTCACCTTGAACTTTTATTTTGAACTAAAGTGTGAGCTAAATGAGCTTTGCACATTTTATTATAGCAACAAAAGGGGGACTAATGTGGTACAAAAGACCAGCATGTCAGATTTCTATATCCTTTATAATCACAGTGTTTGGTGTGTCATCTCTGCCTGCTTCCCAGCCCCTGACAACCAGATGCCCTGGGAGTTTTTCACTGACCGAGAAAAATACACTGACTGGCTGGCATCTCTGTGTTCTACCATGTCATTGGTAGCTACATCCAGATGTCAGGGTCCCAGCCGCCAGTCTGCCCAAGGGCAACATAGGAAGAACAAATTGGGCATTGGTGTTGCCTACTAGACGTGTCCTGTCTATGTTTCACTTTAATGGAGCTACCAGTAAAGCTACAGAGGGCAACATGTATGGACGCTATCATTCTCTCTCTCTCTCTCTCTCTCTCTCTCTCTCTCTCTCTCTCTCTCTCTCTCTCACTGTTCCTACCTTGATCTCTGCAATGGGAACTTCTATCCTCTCCAAGGGATTCTGAGAAGAGGGGGCACCTGCTTTTCTATCCAGTAATTCATGAGACAACTATATCTGGCTATTAATTTCCTCTGATCCCACATTTTTTCTTTTCCTTTTGGGGGTGTCATCTGGACACAGGACAAGTGTTTTCACTCCACTTCCACCCTCCAAATACTTGACAAACTGAGTCAAGACAAGTAAGTGAAGGTGCATATATTCAACTTCTCCCTGAGTGGAGTTCCAAGTTAAGGTAGCAGAGTTCCCAGAAGCTTTCTTTGGTCTCCCCAGCAACAAAACCGGTAACCAGATACTATCTTACTTTTTGTTTTGTTTTGTTTCATTTTTCTGAGACAGGGTTTCTCTGTGTGACTCTGTTTGTTCTAGAATTCACTCAGTAGACCAGGCTGGCCTCAAACTTGGAGATCCACCTGCCCTTGCCTCCTGAGTGCTGGGATTAAAGTGCCCAGCCCCTATCTCACTCTTACGTATATATTTAAGTTTTCCTAAACTCAGAGGTGATACTAGTGTGATTAATACCCTTGCCATCTATACTTTTGACAATTTACATATGAGGAAGCTGAGAGTGTAAGTTCTTTGCCCAATAATACGTGCTCTACAGCAGAGGCAGGGTGGGAGTGCATTCCCTGTTATTCTCCTTTCTCGTTTATCCCTCTCACGGGCTTCTTAAATGCCTGACTCCACCAAATCTTCCACTCAGTGAATTGATAGCATCCATTTCTAATGCACTGAATGAAGAAAGGCCTTACAACAGGCCAACCCCAGGGAAAGAATCTGTTTTCACAGTCACACTGTAGTACCAGAGGTCTCCCCAGTGTGGCTCACATCAGAGACCAGACGAAGTAGACGTGGGGAAAAAAATCATCTCTGTAGTGGAAGCTGCTGCTTCTGTGACTTTTGTCTCTAGCTGCCCATCTATCAGTACACTGAAGAATGCATGCCTGTAATGTTGGGTGTGTCTTCAAGGGGCTGTGGCTGCCTAACCAAGAATGTTTCCCTGGATGATGCCAGCGCTTCTCATTTAAAGGTAATTGTCAGCCAATCAATGGGATTTGGTACAGAAAGGAAGATCTGTGTCATTGATGTTTTTCACTAATGACATCCAGAAGAGCCTTCATTAACCTGCCGTGGTCAAGTTGGGGTTATCTGGATGAAAGGTTCTAAGCATCTCCCTCTTCACCCCTCCCATTGAAATACAAATTCACACTGAAGCTATTACATCAGTTTAAATGTGTTAACCAACTTCCTTGTGTCCTGTTTAAAACCCATTTTCTTAGTAGCAGCCCCTCCCCCTCCCACACAGTTCCTATGGGGCTGTCACTCATGGTTCTCCAAAACCCGTGTGGCCTAGGCCCTGGAGACCATGGATTACCACACCGAGGACTATCAAGAAGAGTGGTCCTTTCAACTCTGAGAGAAGACAGCACCTGTTCTTACTCTTAGATCACAGCTTAAGTACCACATAAGCCAGGAATGTCCATCTTTCCAGGTCTGTGGAAGAAATTCAGGCAAATGAAGGCAGAACAGCTGAGTGACAGCAATGGGACACTGGCAGCCCATTTGTGGATGGATCTTACTGTGCTTCAACTGAGATCCCTTCCTGGACTTCCATCTGCAATCCAACACATTCCACGGGCTTAAGCTGTTTTGAGTCGGTTCCTGTCATTTACAACCCAAAGAGCCTTGACTAATTTTAGAATGCTTCCAGCCACCCTCATATTCTGCTGAAGGGCAGAACACACAGCTGCGTGTGCATTTGAGGGAACTCTGGCACCAGGCCAGAGTGGCTCTTATGTGTTTGTGTGAGAACTACTGTGAATCTAGGCGCATCCCCAATCCCTTGGCTAACCAGCTGAGCTCTGGCAGTGGAGACAGATAACAGGAGGGAAAGGATGGGTGAGCATAGGTCATATCCGAGGTTCAGGAAGTAAGAAGCCACTGAAAGAGCTAACGAAGATCTGAGTTAGAGCAGAAGAGGGGGTGAACTGGAAAAGCGCAAAAGTCAGTGATCTAAGTAGGAAATGCTGACAGTGTGAAGATGGCCAGTATAAGAGACACCAGAGAGGTAAGACAACGTGGAAGACAGAGAATGGAGGAACATGGGCTGCTACTGTAGCCACTAACTCAGCCATGATGTCACTCACCAGAGCTTGGAGAAAGTTTCAAAGTAGCTCATGGCTAGTCCCTAGTGCTGAGATTGATGTATGTGTGGAACTGCCAGGAAGGAAGTGAAGGAAAAGGAAACAGGCCAGGCCAGGGCAACAAGCCCCTTCATCTGAGACTCTGCCCTCTGGCCCGAGTACATCACCACGCTGGTGATGCTCTGTAGAAACAGTGAAATAACTGTCCCTTATCTCACAATCCCTGTGATGGTTCAGCCCAAGGGGAGAAACTGATCATGTTTATTGCTCAACCTTTCTCACGCTCTGCTCAGTTGCTCCTCTGTTCTCATCCGAGATAAACAATCCTAGTTCGGTTCTTCTCCTGACAACCCTTTCAATCTGTCCAGTCTCTTTCCACCCTCAAGAGGAGCAGAACCAAGTTCACTGGGCAGGTCTAGAGCAACAGAAATAAGGCTATCCCAGTTGTGTCCTGAGCCACCTAGTGTGGGATGCAGCTTGCAGTTTCAAAAGTGCCACTGTCATCTGGGAGCCAATCAGCATCAATTTCCAGGAAGCTTCCTGCTTTGCTTGCACAAGGCCTTCCCCCATTTGGTCTGTTCCACATTCTACAATTCCTATGAAACGTAGAAGCCTGAGCCTCAGCATGCTGACTCTTGCCACATTTTCAGGTGAAGTCACCCTGACTTCCTGCTCCGTGATCCAGTGTTGTTCCTCAGCTCCCAAGTTGCTGTCTCGGGCAAATTTGCCCCTTTCTGTGGTCCTTCTTACTGATCTAAACTACACCAAAACCAAAGCAAAGCCAAACAAGACATTCCTATCTGGGGTAGTCCTTCGACCTGGGTGCATGACATGGAAGCAGGACCAGAGGCGGACTTTCCTACCATTTAGAGCCTCCAGTAGCTTTAGTCCTCTGCCAGAGCAAACTACCAAAGGGTATCAGGGTTACCATGTGGGAAAACCTTGAGGACTCCAGAGAAAAGTAACCACAAAATTACAAACAGAAACAGTACAGGGACGTGACAGAAGAGCATGCAGTCCAGGAAGACCACACAACCCAACAAGCTGAGAATGTAATACAGACACTATTTCCAAAGGCAAACAAGAGGTGCAGATTCTGCTTCATGCCTTAAGTCAGAACACAGTCTATCCAAGCCCAGATTATTACAAAGGTAAGAAGATACTAGAAAACAAAAATTATCCTAAATTTTAGAGATGGGGGACATCTTTTCTTTGGTACTGTTGGAGGATGAAACTCTAAGACATCAGTAGAATTTGTTATATGAAATTTTCAAGTATCTGTTTGGCAAGAGAGATGCTCGGTGGCTATAAAGCTTTCCCTGTTGCTTGAGGATCTGAGTTTGGGTCCCTGATGCCCATGTAAAAGCCAGATGTGGTAGAGTATCCATAACCTCAGTGCTAGGGGTTGGGGAAGGTAGATGAGTCAGGAGGATCCCTGGAACTCACTGGCTAGCCAGTCTAGTCAAAATACCAGGCTCAAATAAATAAATAAATAAATAAATAAATAAATAAATAAATAGATAAATAAAGTGGAGTGC